CTCTTTCCCATCAAGCCTGGCTGTGTGCCTCTACCACATTTTGCAGCAACTGCTCAAGCAGGGCCACTAACACTTGAATTTTCCTCCAGGAGAGGAGATGTCTCTGACCCTGGATAACAGATCTTCCACTGAGAAAGTGCCACAGGATCTGTGGGAATATCCTAACAACACCACAACTTGCCATAAAAACAAAGCAACCGAGATCCCCAACATGTGACGCCTCCATCTCAAAGCTTTTTATAGCAGACCCCTCATTGGACCCCTTCCAGACGTTGGCTCCAGGCCTGTTAATGGCATGAGATAAAGTAGGTGTTATGTCAGGCCTCTGAACAGTCAGACACCGACAAGCCACCCGCCCACTCGTTGGTGGGCCAGTGGCGCAATGGATAACGCGTCTGACTACGGATCAGAAGATTCTAGGTTCGACTCCTGGCTGGCTCGCACACCCTGTTTTGCTTCGCTGCCAGCCCATAGCCACTTTATCATTTCCTTTTATTAGCCCATCATTTTTGTTATTATTATTATTATTGGATTAGTTGAATAATATTTTAAATTGACAGTCCAACAATAGGCTGCTTTGTCAGTGGGATAACGGTTTCCATGAAATACCATGCGTCTTTTCAGATGCATTGCATGGGTACTGTCACAAGGACCTTGCTTTGCGACCAGTTTATAGTGTCTCTTATGCCAGCACAGGACTGGGAGGACACTGAACCCCATGGGCGAGGCAAATGAGAGCTCCCTCCAATGAGCCTGATGAAATCAAATTCAGTAAACAATCTCTTCAGCTCATTCCCATATTCTTAAGGAAGGGGGTGGTCGCACACTAAAAGCCAAATGGCCTGCTCGAGGCACGAGGAAGTTCCCATATGGTCTAGCGGTCAGGATTTAAGCAGGGTAGGGCCTGGTTAGTGCTTGGATTGGAGACCGCCTGGGAATACCAGGTGCTGTAAGCATTATTGTTAAAAAAAAAAAAAAAAGAGTCAATGAAATGTTTCAAAAATGCTAAATTGTCTCTTTTTTTCCTCAAAATGCCTGAAATAGTCTCTAAAAAAAAAAAGTGGTCAGGATTCCTGGTTTTCACCCAGGCAGCTCAGGTCCTGGTTTGCTCACTCTTTCCCATCAAGCCTGACTGTGTGCCTCTACCACATTTTGCAGCAACTGCTCAAGCAGGGCCACTAACACTTGAATTTTCCTCCAGGAGAGGAGATGTCTCTGACCCTGGATAACAGATCTTCCACTGAGAAAGTGCCACAGGATCTGTGGGAATATCCTAACAACACCACAACTTGCCATAAAAACAAAGCAACCGAGATCCCCAACATGTGACGCCTCCATCTCGAAGCTTTTAATAGCAGACCCCTCATTGGACCCCTTCCTGACGTTGGCTCCAGGCCTGTTAATGGCATGAGATGAAGGTGGTGGGTCAGTGGCGCAATGGATAACGCGTCTGACTACGGATCAGAAGATTCTAGGGTCGACTCCTGGCTGGCTCGCTCACCCTTTTTTGACAGTCCAACAATAGGCTGCTTTGTCAGTGGGATAACGGTTACCATGAAATACCATGCGTCTTTTCAGATGCATTGCATGGGTACTGTCACAAGGACCTTGCTTTGCGACCAGTTTATAGTGTCTCTTATGCCAGCACAGGACTGGGAGGACACTGAACCCCCTGGGCGAGGCAAATGAGAGCTCCCTCCGATGAGCCTGATGAAATCGAATTCAGTAAACAATTCCTTCGGCTCATTCCCATATTCTTAAAGAAGGGGGTGGTCGCACACTAAAAGCCAAAGGGCCTGCTAGTGGCACGAGGAAGTTCCCATATGGTCTAGCGGTCAGGATTCCTGGTTTTCACCCAGGCGGCCCGGGTTCGACTCCCGGTATGGGAAGTTTGTGTTGTCTTTGCTTCACTTATGGAAACGGACAGGACGTGTCTCTGTGCCTCTAGCACTTTTAGCCAGCAGGCGCAGCTCACGAAACCTGATAGGTTTAGGTTCTGTCCGCAACCGGTGTGCCTTCGATAGCGGTGCCTGGGAACCGTTCGTCTGTCTGCTTCGACCAATCACGTCTCTGCATGTCCATCTTTCTCATTTTTTGGACAGCCCATCAGATCGCAGCATTTCCATTTTCTCCATTTTACGACAGCCAATCACCGTGGCCCCTTTCCATCATTGCCGGATCATGCGCAGTAAGTCCACCTCCTATAAATCATATTTTTCACTTTTTTCATCAGTTATTTTGGTAAAAGCCACGCGAAGTCCGTCATTTATTTTTGAAAAAGCCGCGTGAAGTCCGTATAAGTCCATAGGTAAGATTACTAGTTAATTAACTAGCTTTAATTCATAGTTTTTTAAATAAACTTTTACATTGTTTTATTTAAGAAGTTGACAGTGACATCGAGGTAAGATTTTAAGTTTACATTGTGTTAGGTAACGTTAAGAGACGTCGACGTTGTTGCTTTGTTTAGTCTCCTAACTATCTTAGCTAAGAATGAATGAATGAATGAATGAATGAATGAATGAATGAATGAATGAATGAATGACAGAGAGAAATTAATGGGTTTAACTTACATTGTTATAATTGGTATAATGTGGGTACAACACCTGATATTGTGTTTGAATTAATGAGTTTTGTGTTGTGTTCAGACTGTGTTTACCAACTGATAATAATCTTATTATGATTGTACTAATTACTTTTATATCTGCTACTACTATGTATCAATAAACACTGAGGTACTATGCATTAATATATTATACACTGAGGTACTGTGTATTCATATATAATACAGCCTACTATCTAATGCCATCTACATACAGGACTATTATAGTAGTGAGTTAAAACTACCCACAATGTGCTGAAGAGTTACAAATTTACAGTGAATAGTTAGAATTTTATTTACTCTAGTAATGGAAGAAGATGGCATCCAAATGCAAAAAGCACAGGGCTATAAGCTTTTATGGTTTTATAAGGTTAAACCTTCATAAGGTTTTCTGTTTTAGGGGTCTGGTCTTCTGAGGCAGGAAACAGGCCGTCACCCCGCCAGTGAAAGTGGCATGACCTGTATCTGAAGGTAAATTTAGATAAAGTGTTATGTGTACAATCTTAAAACATAAAGCTATGTCATATTGAAAGGGGTCACATATGATTCACTGCCAAACAATATTACAGTTTGAAAAATGTCCCGTGCATTTTAGGGGACAAATGCCTTTGTTTAGAGGGACACAGACATATATTTGTGGATTTCATATACAAAGGTATAGCCTCAATACTGTCCTAAAATTATGTAGTGTTGATGTTGTTGTCTCTATTATTAAATTTAATTTTCTTTTCCTTTAACCTGTAGCCTTCCAGGTCAGTGTCCTTTTTCAATGACACCTGGTCCCTTATCTACATCATCTGCTGCTACACCAGGGAAGATGGCAACATCTGGGCAATGGCAACACCTGGGTAGATGGCAACACCTGCTCTCACCTCTCACCACAACTTTTACTATGGCATCAGTAAGTAATGAGTATTTACTGATACTGATATTTACATTTTTAGCATATTCAAATATATGCAGTGTAATAATAATAATAATAACAATAAATGTAATAATAATATATTATTATTATTATTATTATTATTATTACATTTAACAGTTTTCCAATGAGGACACCACTGCACCCTCCGCCCCAACAGCTGTGCCCACCAGCCTAGCTTCTGCTCCTCCGTACTTTCTGATCGTCCTAGCCTCTCTTCCCACTGCTACAACTACAAGTCCCTCTGGGACACCTGCCATGGCTCCAGCAGCACCACAGCAAGAACTGGTAGGTCCTTTGTGACATGTAAACAGTGTGAAAGATGTAATATTTTTCTGCCTGTGATATTGTTGTTATTTTATTTTATATATGAAGAGTTCATATATAAAGAACTCTTTGAAGAGTTGCATCGATGCAAAAGCCTCTAGGTGCCATTTGAAATTTTCTTCTAGAATGACAATTTTTATCAAGCTTGTATATTTAAGTTCAGTGATTTCACTTAAATGGCAATGATAATTACCTATTAATTGTTATTTAAGTGAAATTGCTGAACTTAAATATACAAGTTTGATAAAAATCATCATTAAAGAAGAAAATTTCAAATGGCATTTAGAGGTTTTTGCATCTGAACTCTTCATATGCATATATTTAACAGGCTGAGGATGAGCGCAGTATCCCAGGGATGGACAGAGTGGACAGCCTGGCAGAGTACTTGGTGGGACTGAGGAATGAAACTGGACAAACACTTAACTCCCAGCAGGCCAGTACCATCATCCCCCTGCCCAGTGGCCAGACTGTTGTCGTGGCCACAGCCAGTATTATGGGTACACTATACTTTCCCAAAATGCTGGTATTTCACTTCACCAGTGGATGGAGGAGATGCGGAGGAAGAGGGCAGATAAGAAATAAACTGTTCAATATTCATCCCATATAGGTCTGGTCTGGCATTTCAAAATAATTAACATAACAGAAAAAACACTGTATATTACAGTTTTTTGGTGTGAGCCTGATTTTGTCTTTTATATATTTTTGTTACCAGTTGACCAGAATCTTCTTCCTTTATTTCTTTTTTTATTTGGTTTATTTATTTATTTTATATTTGTATTTATATTTAATTGTTCAATTCTTTTTTATATGTGCCATGCTTAACTGTGTGTGTGAGAGAAAGAGATAATTAAGATGAATATTTTGCAATAAATGTTTAATATATTAAAACAGCAATCCTTTATTTATTGCCAACATTCACTCAGAGAAGACAATTACATTGTTGCAGTTCTTTCAATTCTATTTTATTTCATTTTAAATTAGATTGTATTAATGAATTGGGTACTTTTCTCAAGCAAATATGTAAATTACATACATACAAATATACACATATGAATACAGTAATAACTTTTTATCATTAATCATTCTGCGAGCCTGAGTCAAAACACTTTTGCAAAAATCCACCTTAACTATTTATTTATTATTATTATTATT